ATAGACTATACTATATTACATAATGTAGGGTATGCTACAAAAAAAATAAACAATTGTTAAAATAAAATCCTAAAAATGGAACGGAACTAAAACGAAAGAACGATGAATATAAAAAAATCACAACAAAACAATTGAATTCAACAAGCTCACACCCAAAGTGTATAATTACACAATCGTCAAAGAACAATCGTCGTTGGTAGGTTACTGCATAGTAGATTTTTTCCACACATTTGAATAAGTAGTTGGCCAAGAAGTACTTGTGTTTTTTTTATTATGCGAAAAAAAAAAATTAAGATTGCAGCACCAGCACCACCACTTTGCCATAGAAATTCGTACAATACGCGTGAGTGTACTTGCTGCTGTTGCATGAACGGAGCGGAAAAGGTTGTATTGTTTAGTTGGGACCCTTTGTATATCCTTTTGATCCTTTGATATCGTTTGTTTTCTTGAATTCTTAAGATTTTCTTGTACGAAGAGAAGGTATTCGTCGTCATCATCATCATCATCTGGCACCTTTAGCATTTTGTATATATTCTACTTTTTATTGTTTTTTTTTTTTGGATTTTTTTTTAATATTTGTATAAATATTCAATTGTTGTTATTATTGTGATGCTAAGATTTTTTGGATTTCATTAAAACTGGGCGTGTCTTGAGATGTTTGTCAGACGATTTCCGGTACATTTAACATTGGATATTCTCGGGGTAAAGTAGAATAAAAATGTTGCTTTTATTAATTTCTTTATAAATGTTTGTTAATGTTTAAAACAAATAAGAAAGTAATGTTAATCATGTGCGATCATATCTTACTGTTCACTAGGTATATGATCCTAAGGACCAATGGCCTATTTTTAACTGATCCTTACGAGAGAATAACGAAGTTCAAATTGCAAATTATTCATAGAAATAAATCTCTAAAGGCAACTTATTAAAATATATTTTTTAATTTAAACAACTTTTAACATGAAATCCTGTCACTAATTGACTTAAAACTCGTATTGAAATTCCATAACTTATTTTCATTTAAATCAAAAAAAAGAATTCACAGAATAACTATAAACTATTCGCTTGAAAAGTAAAAAAATTCAAAACAAAAAGAAAAAATAATAGCATACAACATAAATGCGTTTGCAATGTGTGCATGTTGCCATAAAAACGAACACCAATAAAATGCAAAAATTAAAAAAAAAAAAAAAAAAAATACTGGAAAAAATAGTGAAAAAAAACTGAAAATATTTATAAAAAAACGAAGGTAAAGAAGTTATTTTTTATGTTATGTTTGGAAAATATGGATAAAAAGAAAAAGAAAGAATGTGGCAACAACCAACCCAAGAACATGTTGATGTGGTAAGAACAAACTAAAGCCGCCATATTTAATAATACACCTACTTTTCGTTCAGCAACAACATGGACTTTTTCTCTTTCTTTAGGCAACATTTATACATATACTTTCGGCTTTCGAGTATTTTTGGCCCCCAACTATATATATAAGTGGAATATAAAGCAAGGGAACTTTGGGCAGACGTAAAAGGTATTCAGAATTAGTTTTTTTGAACTCTGTAATATTTAATTTAGACTTGATTGAACTGATGTTTGCATAAGTAGGAGCATCACAACCTCTTCCAACTGTACATATCGGGCCGGAAAGGGTTAATTTAAAAACTGTGTCATCAGTTCTTATCTTATAACCTTACGTTCAAACTGGAGACTGTTAATTTGAAGACAAATTGTCAAGATGTGGTGCTATGTACTGCTACGATCGGTCTAATTAACTAAGACTAACTAACTAACTACTAACTAACTAACTAACTAACTAACTAACTAACTAAACTAACTAACTAACTAACTAACTACTAACTAACTAACTAACTACTAACTACTAACTAACTAACTACTAACTAACTAACTAACTAACTACTAACCTAACTAACTAACTAACTAACTACTAACGAACTAACTAACTAACTAACTACTACTAACTAACTAACTAACTACTAACTAACTAACGAAACTAACTAACTAACTAACTAGAACTAACTAACTAACTAACTAACTAACTAACTAATACTAACTAACTAACTAACTAACTAACTAACTAACTAACTAACCTAACTAACTAACTCACTACTAACTAACTAACTAACTAACTAACTAACTAACTAACTAACTAACAACTAACTACTAACTAACTAACTAACTAACTAACGAACTACTAACTAACTACTAACTACTAACTACTAACTAACTAACTAACTAACTAACTAACTAACTAACTAACTAACTAACTAACTAACTAACTAACTAACTAACTATACTAACTAACTAACTAACTAACTAACTAACTAACTAACTAACTAACTAACTAACTAACTAACTAACTACTAACTACTAACTACTAACTAACTACTAACTAACTACTAACTAACTAACTACTAACTAACTAACTACTAACTAACTAACTAACTAACTAACTAACTAACTACTAACTAACTAACTAACTAACTAACTAACTAACTAACTAACTAACTAACTAACTAACTAACTAACTAACTAACTACTACTAACTAACTAACTAACTACTAACTAACTAACAACTAACTAACTAACTAACTAACTAACTAACTAACTAACTAACTAACTAACTAACTAACTACTAACTAACTAACTAACTAACTAACTAACTAACTAACTAACTAACTAACTAACTAACTAACTAACTAACTAACTAACTAACTAACTAACTAACTAACTAACTAACTAACTACTAACTAACTAACTAACTAACTAACTAACTAACTAACTAACTAACTAACTAACTAACTAACTAACTAACTAACTACTAACTAACTAACTAACTAACTAACTAACTAACTAACTAACTACTAACTAACTAACTAACTAACTAACTAACTAACTAACTAACTAACTAACTAACTAACTAACTAACTAACTACTAACTAACTAACTAACTAACTAACTAACTAACTAACTAACTAACTAACTAACTACTAACTAACTAACTAACTAACTAACTAACTAACTAACTAACTAACTAACTAACTAACTAACTAACTAACTAACTAACTAACTAACTACTAACTAACTAACTAACTAACTAACTAACTACTAACTAACTAACTAACTAACTAACTAACTAACTAACTAACTAACTACTAACTAACTAACTAACTAACTAACTAACTAACTACTAACTAACTAACTAACTAACTAACTAACTAACTAACTAACTAACTAACTAACTACTAACTAACTACTAACTAACTAACTAACTACTAACTAACTAACTAACTAACTAACTAACTAACTAACTAACTAACTAACTACTAACTAACTAACTAACTAACTAACTAACTAACTAACTAACTAACTAACTAACTAACTAACTAACTAACTAACTAACTAACTACTAACTACTAACTAACTAACTAACTAACTAACTAACTAACTAACTAACTAACTAACTAACTAACTAACTAACTAACTAACTAACTAACTAACTAACTAACTAACTAACTAACTAACTGTTGAGCTGCAGAGTACAGTTATGGAAAAATTTTGAAATTTTGTAGTTCCTTTTGTGAAATGACTTCTTTAATTAAAGAATTTACTTAGGAAACTGTTGTCTGAACTGCTCGACGTTGAAAAGCATTCCTTTACTCTAGCGCTCTACTAAGAATAAGAATGTAGAATCGTCAGTAGAACTGCACGAATTCAATAACGATTTGGGAGCACTATAGCTCGATTAAGAATACGAATGTAAAGCAATCTGCTAATTTAGACGAGGTCTAGAACACATCGAAATATCGATCTGAGATCAATAAAAGGTTCTGCTTCGTATAAGATTCGAAGACGATATAACTATGTCTACCCGTCTGTCTGTTGAAAACGAGATATGATCCAAAACGATATATATTTTTGCAGTGGTTTGGTTCCAATAACCGACCCTCATTTGATCCTAGCCTTCATATAAGTTCCCCTTTGAAAAAGTTTATAATTAGAGTGATGAAATTTGACATAAACAATTTAAACCAAAACATTTCTTCCGAATTTTATAAGAATCGTTCCATAACTGTTAAGGTCAATCCATAAAACCGCTCATATAGGAAATATCTACTTTTCAATATTAAATTTATTCTAGGTTAACAATTTCATAATATTATTTTATAATCGCTTACGAAATAGCTGTTCATATTATAGTTTATTTAACATATTTTAACTAATTTATTTTTACAATAAAATAACATTTTCTAGTAAAACTTTTCTTATAGTAAAAGGTCGTGGAACTTAAAATTTCCATTGTTTTTAATTATATACTAGTATTTTTAAATATTATTTTCATACCATTACGGTAATGACTTGGAAGTGCAAATAATTAAATAATTAATTGAAATCAATTAATTGTGTATAAAACCCCTTCAGTATATGAACATATATTACATGTCTTGAGTGTTTAACAGAACTTCGAATAAATTAAATCATTTTAAGAAAGATAATTTAAAAATAGTTCATATATCATTGAAGAATCAAAAAGATATATAGTGAAACTTTGAAAATGCCCATTTCATACAATATCTGTGAAAAAACTTTAACCCCTTAGCTTTAGTATCAAGGCCCTATCGTATTTCGACAGATATAATACACGAAAACAGGTATATGTTCTATGGATCTACGATCTATATTTGATATACTTTAAATAAGAATTAGTTCTTTTAAGTATTTATTTGATTAAAATGTCTTAATTAAAAATTTTTAAATACATGGATTTGGCCTTAATAGTCCTTTTAAGAATAAATATAATTTATAGACGAAAGAAAGTACCAATTATTTTCCTTATCCTCTTTTACTTGTAATTAGTCGTGACAATAAATTCTGTTTTCATTTTATAAATTGTGTTGCATTTAAAATCCTAACAGTTAGATTCAACACAACTTTGAACCCATAAAGTTTAAGACAAAAAAAAAAAAAAAAAAATCGAGAATATTATGGTTGAACCAACTCGCCTATTTACTCTAGATGAATTTCTCATAAAATTACAAATATCACAAAAATATACAAGAGTTATCTATTTGGATTTTCGACGGGAAAATGTTAAACAACCATTTCGTTTTAAAAACATCCAATTTCTCTATATGGCCATTAGTCTTATGATTATTGACTGTATCTGCAATATAATGAAAATCATTATCGAAATAAGTTCTAATCGTTTAAGTGAAGCAAAACAAATCGGTGCTGTCTTCAGTATTGAATTCTTGTGTTTAGTGCGTGGCCTTTCGGTATTGACAAAATATCACAGTATTTTAGATTTAACCAATTGTTTAGATAAAATATTTCCTCGTAATCGTGATTTACAGAAACGTATGAATATTATGTCGTTCGTTCGCTATTTAGAAATAAGACATCGTATGTTGCATATTTATGCTATAGTTGGTTTAACCGCATTTATTGGTCTACCTTTGCTGAAATATTTGATATACTATGATCGCTCTAGTGGTTTACCATTATTAGATGAATATCATCAACATGCTTCTTGGTTCCCATATCAACTAAAGCAAAGTAATCGCGCCTATCCGTTTATGTATATCTATGAGACTTTGATAACGATTTTCGGTATAAATTGTATGTTTACTTGGGATCATATTTATACCGTGTCGGTGGCTCAATTTGTTATGCATTTTGATTTTATTAACGCTCAAGTCGAGAAATTGGATGTCAAGAGAACTTTGGAGGGTAAAAAGTCGAAGGAGTTTTATAGAAGTTTAAAAGAAATTATAATTTATCATCAGCATATTCTTGAGTAAGTTTATAATTATAGACACGACTATATTGCATTGACTATATACTATAGACATGTCTATAGTCTCGGCTATAGACAACACTGTAGTCTGGAGTCTAAACTATAGACAAGACTATAGTCTAAACTATAAACAAGACTATAATCGATACCATAGACAAGAATATAATCTAGACTATAGACGAGACTAAAAACTATATTATAGACATGTCTGTAGTTTATACTATACACTAGACTATAGGCTCGAAGATAGATAAGTCCATAGTATTGACTATAAACAAGACTGTAGTCTAGACTATAGACAAGACTAAAATACATACACTAGACAGAACTATAGTCTCGACTATAGACAGGACTACGGACAGGACTATGGACAGGACTATAGACAAGACTATAGTCTCGACTATAGAGAAAGCTATAGTAGACAGGACTATAGACAACACTAGTCTCGCCTATAGACAAGACTCTAGTCTCGGCTATAGACAAGACTCTATTCTCGCCTATACACAAGACTCTAGTCTCGCCTATACACAAGACTCTAGTCTCGCCTATAGACAAGACTCTAGTGTCGCCTATAGACAAGACTCTAGTCTCGCCTATAGACAAGACTCTAGTCTCGCCTATAGACAAGACTCTAGTCTCGCCTATAGACAAGACTCTAGTCTCGCCTATAGACAAGACTCTAGTCTCGCCTATAGACAAGACCGTAGTCTCGCCTATAGACAAGACCGTAGTCTCGCCTATAGACAAGACCGTAGTCTCGCCTATACACAAGACTCTAGTCTCGCCTATAGACAAGACTCTAGTCTCGCCTATAGACAAGACCGTAGTCTCGCCTATAGACAAGACCGTAGTCTCGCCTATAGACAAGACTCTAGTCTCGCCTATACACAAGACTCTAGTCTCGCCTATAGACAAGACTCTAGTCTCGCCTATAGACAAGACTCTAGTCTCGCCTATAGACAAGACTCTAGTCTCGCCTATAGACAAGACTCTAGTCTCGCCTATAGACAAGACTCTAGTCTCGCATATAGACAAGACTCTAGTCTCGCCTATAGACAAGACTCTAGTCTCGCCTATAGACAAGACTCTAGTCTCGCCTATAGACAAGACTCTAGTCTCGCCTATAGACAAGACTCTAGTCTCACCTATAGACAAGACTCTAGTCTCGCCTATAGACAAGACTCTAGTCTCGCCTATAGACAAGACTCTAGTCTCGCCTATAGACAAGACCCTAGTCTCGCCTATAGACAAGACTCTAGTCTCGCCTATAGACAAGACCCTAGTCTCGCCTATAGACAAGACTCTAGTCTCGCCTATAGACAAGACTCTAGTCTCGCCTATAGACAAGACCCTAGTCTCGCCTATAGACAAGACTCTAGTCTCGCCTATAGACAAGACCCTAGTCTCGCCTATAGACAAGACTCTAGTCTCGCCTATAGACAAGACTCTAGTCTCGCCTATAGACAAGACCCTAGTCTCGCCTATAGACAAGACTCTAGTCTCGCCTATAGACAAGACCCTAGTCTCGCCTATAGACAAGACTCTAGTCTCGCCTATAGACAAGACTCTAGTCTCGCCTATAGACAAGACTCTAGTCTCGCCTATAGACAAGACTCTAGTCTCGCCTATAGACAAGACTCTAGTCTCGCCTATAGATAGGATCATATTCTTGACTATAGACAAGACTATAGACTTGACTATAGACAACACTATAGTGTCGATTATAAACGAGACTGTAGACAAGACTATAATCTCGACTGTAGACAACACTATAGTAAAGACTGTCTAGTCTCGACTATGGACAAAACTACAGTTTCGACTGTAGACAAGACATAGACTCAACTATAGACAAGATTACAGTCTCGACTATAGACAAGGCTACAGTCTCAACTATAGACAAGACTAAAGTCTCAAATATTTACAAGACCACAGTATCGAATATAGACACGACTATAATCTCGAATATAGACAAGACTACAGTCTACCATAGACAACACTATAGCCTTGATTATAGACAAGTCTATAGTCTTGAATATAGACAAGTCTAAGTCTATGTAGTCTCGACTATACAAGACTATAGACTCGACTATAGACAGGACTATAGACAACACTATAGTCTCGACTATGGAGAAGACTATAGTGTCGACTACAGACATGACTATAGTCTCGACTATAGACAATACTATAGTCTCGACCATAGACAAGACTATAGTCTCGGCTATATATAAAAGTTCTTTTCATTTTTAGAATAGGTGAAAAATTGCGTAAAACTTTTAATATATCCCTATTTTTAACGGATATAGTAAGTGCGGCTTCAATATGTTTTCACGTCTATTTGATGGCCAATAGTGATGACATTATTGCCATTGTACTATTCATATTCCCCTGTTTCGTGCAAGTGGCGTTTACATTTGATAATTGTTATCAGGGCACTCGAGTGGCTGAAGCGGTAAAGAATTGTAACTCCAAAAAACATTTTTAATACCTACCACCAAAATTATTTAAAAGACAAAATTTATTTATTGACTCCTATCTGGAGGATAGCGACTGGATCCAGTTGTAACTTAAAGTATGAAGGGGCTTTTTCTAACACTTGAGCATGACAATAGTTTACGGTTATGGAGATAAGTCTAGACTCTAGAGTATTAACGTTTTCTCCTATATTCTCCGTTAGTCTGCAATGTTTGGTTTTGAAAATAGTTCATATCAATCAGTACACTCAAATGACTGTCATAGGTCCTAAAGGATATGTCCTATGTATTTATAAATAACACTATAGGTGAATTCGTTTAAAAATATATATTTTGGTGGTGGCTATATATTAATCGGCGCAGTCGAACATATCACTCTCATACAATATTATTCTCATGAAGCACCCATTTTAGAGTGCCCGCTTACCAGTAGCTCTAGCTCAACAAAATTGGTACGAAGGTTCTTTGGAATATCGTAAATTTTACATAATGCTGCTAATGTTTGCCAACAATTCGTTTACATTAAGTGGTTATAAAATGTTTAGTATAGATATGGTACATTTTCGGGGGGTGAGTATGAATCAAATGACTATAATTTTTCGAACAAACTGTACTTCTATATGTATTTTTCTTACAGATCATGATGATTGCTTATAGATTGTTTACTTTTCTGCAGACAAGGGGTAAAAAGAGTTATCGATAGAAATATTTGTAGAATAATTAAATCAAGTGTAAAATTAAACATTAATATATAATATACTCTTAAATAAATCTGTTACATTATGTTTAAATTAATTGATCATTCAAATCATTTTTCTTCAAAACCTTCGCCATTTCGGATGAATTTATAATTGTCTTATACTTTCGATCAAGAAAATATGCCGTAACCAGTTCCTTGATGAATATTGGTAATATTCTATAATAAATTGATCAATTACAATATGAAAAACAATTAATTTCTTCATCCCAACTTACTCAAACATTTGATATATACAGAGCAGTATACAGGGTACCGTTATTTCCCGACTACCACTCAACATACCATCAATTACATATTTTGCCACAATATCACCTTCCATTAAGGGGAAAAGATGTTGCATACCAACCAATTTAGCTGCTGTTTCAGTACGTTTATTTGTGGATAAAAACGTTGGCATCACTGTTGTCACCTTTATATTTTATCTCTCCAATAAACACTCAACTCGTAGAGCCGATGTCAGGGAACGTATCGCTGCTTTAGTGGCAGTATAAACATCTATAATTGGTAAAGTAAATAGGGCTGATACGGAGCAGATATTAACAATGTAACCCTGATTTAGTTCTTTCCTTTTGGGTAAAAAAATTTGTAGAATCTGGGAAGAAGTACATAGTTAAAAAATCTTCTTTGTTTTTCGAATATAAGGTATGGGGGAACTTACATAGCACAGTGAGGTAAAATTGACATCAATCATCTGCTTAACTTCATGAGGAGGAGGATTCTTTAAGGATGAACTTAATATAAGGCCAGCATTATTAATTAGAATAGTGGGTATGCCCAGATCCACGGTTACAGCATCTTTAAGATGTTCTAGTGTTCGTAATCACGGATGTCAATCTGAAATTTTGGAAATTATTTCAGATTCTCTATATATACTAGAACTGAACTAAAACTGAACCAGAACTGAACTAGAACTGAACTAGAACTGAACTAGAACTGAACTAGAACTGAACTAGAACTGAACTAGAACTGAACTAGAACTGAACTAGAACTGAACTAGAACTGAACTAGAACTGAACTAGAACTGAACTAGAACTGAACTAGAACTGAACTAGAACTGAACTAGAACTGAACTGAACTGAACTAGAACTGAACTAGAAACTGAACTAGAACTGAACTAGAACTGAACTAGAACTGAACTAGAACTGAACTAGAACTGAACTAGAACTGAACTAGAACTGAACTAGAACTGAACTAGAACTGAACTAGAACTGAACTAGAACTGAACTAGAACTGAACTAGAACTGAACTAGAACTGAACTAGAACTGAACTAGACTGAACTAGAACTGAACTAGAACTGAACTAGAACTGAACTAGAACTGAACTAGAACTGAACTAGAACTGAACTAGAACTGAACTAGAACTGAACTAGAACTGAACTAGAACTGAACTAGAACTGAACTAGAACTGAACTAGAACTGAACTAGAACTGAACTAGAACTGAACTAGAACTGAACTAGAACTGAACTAGAACTGAACTAGAACTGAACTAGAACTGAACTAGAACTGAACTAGAACTGAACTAGTACTGAACTAGAACTGAACTAGAACTGAACTAGAACTGAACTAGAACTGAATTAAAAGTGAACTAGAACTGAAATAGAACTGAACTAGAACTGAACTAGAACTGAACTAGAACTGAACTAGAACTGAACTAGAACTGAACTAGAACTGAACTAGAACTGAACTAGAACTGAACTAGAACTGAACTAGAACTGAACAAGAACTGAACTAGAACTGAACTAGAACTGAACTAGAACTGAACTAGAACTGAACTAGAACTGAACTACAACTGAACTAGAACTTAACTGAACTAGAACTGAACTAGAACTTAACTGAACTAGAACTGAACTAGAACTGGACTAGAACTGAACTAAAACTGAACTAAAACTGAACTAGAACTGAACTAGAACTGAACTAGAACTGAACTAGAACTGAACTAGAAACTGAACTAGAACTGAACTAGAACTGAACTAGAACTGAACTAGAACTGAACTAGAACTGAACTAGAACTGAACTAGAACTGAACTAGAACTGAACTAGAACTGAACTAGAACTGAACTAGAACTGAACTAGAACTGAACTAGAACTGAACTAGAACTGAACTAGAACTGAACTAGAACTGAACTAGAACTGAACTAGAACTGAACTAGAACTAGAACTGAACTAGAACTGAACTAGAACTGAACTAGAACTGAACTAGAACTGAACTAGAACTGAACTAGAACTGAACTAGAACTGAACTAGAACTGAACTAGAACTGAACTAGAACTGAACTAGAACTGAACTAGAACTGAACTAGAACTGAACTAGACTGAACTAGAACTGAACTAGAACTGAACTAGAACTGAACTAGAACTAGAACTGAACTAGAACTGAACTAGAACTGAACTAGAACTGAACTAGAACTGAACTAGAACTGAACTAGAACTGAACTAGAACTGAACTAGAACTGAACTGAACTGAACTAGAACTCAGCTAGAACCAAACTAGATAAATGTTCTTTTGATAGCCAATTTGCAATAATTCTGAATAAATTTTCTTTTTATATAATTTTATTTTTGAGTTGTTTGTTTACCTTGTATGCTTTTGCTTTAACTTTAAATATATCGCTTAAGTATTGTGCAGTTTCCAATGACAATTGTACCTGTATGTCAACAACGGCAATGTGGCATCCTCTAGCTGCCAATTCTTTGGCAATTTCACGTCCAGGACCACGACCAGAGCCAGTTATCTAAATAGATATGAAAATCGAAAAGAAAATATATGGTAGATTTTATAATATGTTGTATATCACAAACTATAACATAATGTGAAACCTTTAGTCCCAAATTAAAATAAGTATATGGAATACAGTGTATTCCGCTAGTATGAACTTCTATTTTGAAAACAAATAATTGTTATTTTTTACCAAATATCACTTATAATAATTTGGCACTAAGGTCTGAAATATATACTGCGTTTTAAATATCCACTACTATTCTCTCATGCAAATTTAAATTTACCACCGCTACTTGTCCATTAATAATTTGTAGTGCGAAAATTTTTCTTAATGCTCTTATAATTTTATTGGCAATTGCAATTAAAATTAGAATGGGATAAAGTAAAATAATTCCAATAAAATAAATACTATGGAATAATTCAAAATAAATTATTTCTGTAAACATTATTTTGTTTCGCTATTGTATTGTGGAACCTGGACGAGTTTTTGTAGACTACTAAGCCAGCTTTTAGAAATTATTTACTTATTTAAACAAAATAATAATAATTTTATTTAATCGTAGATATTTTGCAAACCGGAGTTTTTTGAGGAATCTGGTTTTGTAGAAATGTTAGTACAAAAAAAGTTTGATAATAAAATTAGAATATTGAAAAAAGGTCTATGAACTGTAATTAAATCCAAAAATCGTAAACAAGTTGTTGCCAAATGTTTTAATATTCTTGATCAAAATCAATGCAAATTTTCCTTTAAAAGCTTTAAAATAAAATACTATTTATTTGAGTTCTAAATTAGTTCTAGTTCAGTTCCACTTCAGTCTTAGTTCAATTCTAGTTTAGTTCCAGTTCAGTTCCAATTCCGTTCTAGTTTAGTTCTATTTCAGTTCCAATTCCGTTCTAGTTTAGTTCCAGTTCAGTTCTAGTTTAGTTCAGTTCTAGTTCAGTTCTAGTTCAGTTCTAGTTCAGTTCTTGTTCAGTTCTAGTTCAGTTCTAGTTCAGTTCTAGTTCAGTTCTAGTTCAGTTCTAGTTCAGTTCTAGTTCATTCTAGTTCAAGTTCTAGTTCAGTTCTAGTTCAGTTCTAGTTCAGTTCTAGTTCAGTTCTAGTTCAGTTCTAGTTCAGTTCTAGTTCAGTTCTAGTTCAGTTCTAGTTCAATTCTAGTTCAGTTCTAGTTCAGTTCTAGTTCAGTTCTAGTTCAGTTCTAGTTCAGTTCTTGTTCAGTTCTAGTTCAGTTCTAGTTCAGTTCTAGTTCAGTTCTAGTTCAGTTCTAGTTCAGTTCTAGTTCAGTTCTAGTTCAGTTCTAGTTCAGTTCTAGTTCAATTCTAGTTCAGGTCTAGTTCAGTTCTAGTTCAGTTCTAGTTCAGTTCTAGTTCAGTTCTAGTTCAGTTCTAGTTCAGTTCTAGTTCAGTTCTAGTTCAGTTCTAGTTCAGTTCTAGTTCAGTTCTAATTCAGTTCTAGTTCAGTTCTAGTTCAGTTCTAGTTCAGTTCTAGTTCAGTTCTAGTTCAGTTCTAGTTCAGTTCTAGTTCAGTTCTAGTTCAGTTCTAGTTCAGTTCCAGTTCAGTTCTAGTTCAGTTCTAGTTCAGTTCTAGTTCAGTTCTAGTTCAGTTCAGTTCTAGTCAGTCTAGTTCAGTTCTAGTTCAGTTCTAGTTCAGTTCTAGTTCAGTTCTAGTTCAGTTCTAGTTCAGTTCTAGTTCAGTTCTAGTTCAGTTCTAGTTCAGTTCTAGTTCAGTTCTAGTTCAGTTCTAGTTCAGTTCTAGTTCAGTTCTAGTTCAGTTAGTTCAGTTCTAGTTCAGTTCTAGTTCAGTTCTAGTTCAGTTCTAGTTCAGTCTAGTTCAGTTCTAGTTCAGTTCTAGTCAGTTCTAGTCAGTCTAGTTCAGTTCTAGTTCAGTTTAGTTTCAGTTCTAGTTCAGTTTCTAGTTCAGTTCTAGTTCAGTTCTAGTTCATTCTAGTTCAGTTCTAGTTCAGTTCTAGTTCATTTCTAGTTCAGTTCTAGTTCAGTTCTAGTTCAGTTCTAGTTCAGTTCTAGTTCAGTTCTAGTTCAGTTCTAGTTCAGTTCTAGTTCAGTTCTAGTTCAGTTCTAGTTCAGTTCTAGTTTCAGTTTTCCGTTCAGTTCAGTAGTCAGTTCTAGTCAGTTCTAGTTCAGTTCTAGTTCAGTTCTAGTTCAGTTCTAGTTCAGTTCTAGTTCAGTTCTAGTCAGTTCTAGTTCAGTTCTTAGTTCAGTTCTAGTCAGTTCTAGTTCAGTTCTAGTTCAGTTCTAGTTCAGTTCTAGTTCAGTTCTAGTTCAGTTCTAGTTCAGTTCTAGTTCAGTTCTAGTTCAGTTCTAGTTCAGTTCTAGTTCAGTTCTAGTTCAGTTCTAGTTCAGTTCTAGTTCAGTTCTAGTTCAGTTCTAGTTCAGTTCTAGTTCAGTTCTAGTTGCAGTTCTAGTTCAGTTCTAGTTCAGTTCTAGTTCAGTCTAGTTCAGTTCTAGTTCTAGTTCAGTTCTAGTTCAGTTCTAGTATTCTAGTTCAGTTCTAGTTCAGTTCTACGTTCAGTTCTACTTCAGTTAGTTCAGTTCTAGTTCAGTTCTAGTTCAGTTCTAGTTCAGTTCTAGTTCAGTTCTAGTTCAGTTCTAGTTCTGCCCTAGTTTCTTCTTGCTAAACATATTTAATCAAAATCTTATTATTAATATGCTGACACATTTTAATCTCTTTTATTTAAAACCTTTGCGATTTTTGTACAGTTTAGTATAGTTTTATATTTCTTAGCCGCAAAAAATGCTGAAAACAACTCCTTGACATGAACCGGTAAAATCCTGAAACAGATTTAAAATGTTAGATATATAAAAATATGCAACTTCTCTGTCTCCGGCACAACTTACTCCAACAGTTTATACATGTAGAGCATTACACAAGGCACTGTAATTTCCCGACTACCATTCAACATACCGTTGATCGCATACTTGGAACAAACTTCACCCTCCATTGTAGGCAATACATGTCGTAACCCAGTCAAATTATGAATTGTTTCTACAGTTTTATTAGTTGATAAAAATGTGGGCATTACAGTTGTAACCGTTATATTTTTACGATCCAATATGAGTTCCGTACGCAGAGCTTGGCTCAAGGAACGTATAGCTGCTTTGGTGGCTCCATAAACATTAAAAAGTGGCGAAGTTATGAGGGCGGATAAGGAACAAATATTAACAATATAGCCTTGATTTAGTTCTTTTAATTTGGGCAAAAATATTTGCAGAATCTAGATGTATAAAAGAAAATTGGTTTTATAATAATTTTTAATTGGATAATAAATTAAAAGTTCTTACGTAATATACGGCAGTAAAATTAACTTCAATCATTTGTTTCACTTCATGAGGGGAAAGATTTGTCAATGATGAACCCACCAAAACTGCAGCGTTATTAATTATAATAGTTGGAGTACCAAGATCCGCAGTTATTGAGACTCTTAGAAGCTCTAGTTGTCCATAATCACTTACGTCCACCTAAAAACGTACAGAGATTTAAAAGATTTTATTGTTTTCGATATTTTGTATATAGTTCAGTTCTAGTTAAGTTCTAGATCAATTCTATATCAGTTCTAGTTCAGTCCAGTTCAGTTCTAGTTCAGTTCTAGTTCAGTTCTAGTTCAGTTCTAGTTCAGTTCTAGTTCAGTTCTAGTTCAGTTCTAGTTCAGTTCTAGTTCAGTTCTAGTTCAGTTCTAGTTCTAGTTCAGTTCTAGTTCAGTTCTAGTCCAGTTCTAGTTCAGTTCTAGTTCAGTTCTAGTTCAGTTCTAGTTCAGTTCTAGTTCAGTTCTAGTTCAGTTCTAGTTCAGTTCTAGTTCAGTTCTAGTTCAGTTCTAGTTCAGTTCTAGTTTAGTTCTAGTTCAGTTCTAGTTTAGTTTTTTGAGGAATCTGGTTTTGTAGAAATGTTAGTACAAAAAAAGTTTGATAATAAAATTAGAATATTGAAAAAGGTCTATGAACTGTAATTAAATCCAAAAATCGTAAACAAGTTGTTGCCAAATGTTTTAATATTCTTGATCAAAATCAATGCAAATTTTCCTTTAAAAGCTTTAAAATAAAATACTATTTATTTGAGTTCTAAATTAGTTCTAGTTCAGTTCCACTTCAGTCTTAGTTCAATTCTAGTTTAGTTCCAGTTCAGTTCCAATTCCGTTCTAGTTTAGTTCTATTTCAGTTCCAATTCCGTTCTAGTTTAGTTCCAGTTCAGTTCTAGTTTAGTTCAGTTCTAGTTCAGTTCTAGTTCAGTTCTAGTTCAGTTCTTGTTCAGTTCTAGTTCAGTTCTAGTTCAGTTCTAGTTCAGTTCTAGTTCAGTTCTAGTTCAGTTCTAGTTCAGTTCTAGTTCAATTCTAGTTCAGTTCTAGTTCAGTTCTAGTTCAGTTCTAGTTCAGTTCTAGTTCAGTTCTAGTTCAGTTCTAGTTCAGTTCTAGTTCAGTTCTAGTTCAGTTCTAGTTCAGTTCTAGTTCAGTTCTAGTTCAATTCTAGTTCAGTTCTAGTTCAGTTCTAGTTCAGTTTCTAGTTCAGTTCTAGTTCAGTTCTTGTTCAGTTCTAGTTCAGTTCTAGTTCAGTTCTAGTTCAGTTCTAGTTCAGTTCTAGTTCAGTTCTAGTTCAGTTCTAGTTCAGTTCTAGTTCAGTTCTAGTTCAGTTCTAGTTCAATTCTAGTTCAGGTCTAGTTTCAGTTCTAGTTCAGTTCTAGTTCAGTTCTAGTTCAGTTCTAGTTCAGTTCTAGTTCAGTTCTAGTTCAGTTCTAGTTCAGTTCTAGTTCAGTTCTAATTCAGTTCTAGTTCAGTTTAGTTCAGTTCTAGTTCAGTTCTAGTTCAGTTCTAGTTCAGTTCTAGTTCAGTTCTAGTTCAGTTCTAGTTCAGTTCTAGTTCAGTTCAGTTCTTCTAGTTCAGTTCTAGTTCAGTTCTAGTTCAGTTCTAGTTCAGTTCTAGTTCAGTTCTAGTTCAGTTCTAGTTCAGTTCTAGTTCAGTTCTAGTTCAGTTCTAGTTCAGTTCTAGTTCAGTTCTAGTTCAGTTCTAGTTCAGTTCTAGTTCAGTTCTAGTTCAGTTCTAGTTCAGTTCTAGTTCAGTTCTAGTTCAGTTCTAGTTCAGTTCTAGTTCAGTTCTAGTTCAGTTCTAGTTCAGTTCTAGTTCAGTTCTAGTTCAGTTCTAGTTCAGTTCTAGTTCAGTTCTAGTTCAGTTCTAGTTCAGTTCTAGTTCAGTTCAGTTCTAGTTCAGTTCTAGTTCAGTTCTAGTTCAGTTCTAGTTCATTCTAGTTCAGTTCTAGTTAGTTCTAGTCAGTTCTAGTTCAGTTCTAGTTCAGTTCTAGTTCAGTTCTAGTTCAGTTCTAGTTCAGTTCTAGTTCAGTTCTAGTTCAGTTCTAGTTCAGTTCTAGTTCAGTTCTAGTTCAGTTCTAGTTCAGTTCTAGTTCAGTTCTAGTTCAGTTCTAGTTCAGTTCTAGTTCAGTTCTAGTTCAGTTCTAGTTCAGTTCTAGTTCAGTTCTAGTTCAGTTCTAGTTCAGTTCTAGTTCAGTTCTAGTTCAGTTCTAGTTCAGTTCTAGTTCAGTTTCTAGTTCAGTTCTATTCAGTTCTAGTTCAGTTCTAGTTCAGTTCTAGTTCAGTTCTAGTTCAGTTCTAGTTCAGTTCTAGTTCAGTTCTAGTTCAGTTCTAGTTCAGTTCTAGTTCAGTTTCTAGTTCAGTTCTAAGTTCAGTTCTAGTTCAGTTAGTTCAGTTCTAGTTCAGTTCTAGTTCAGTTCTAGTTCAGTTCTAGTTCAGTTCTAGTTCAGTCTAGTTCAGTTCTAGTTCAGTTCTAGTTCAGTTCTAGTTCAGTTCTAGTTCAGTTCTAGTTCAGTTCTAGTTCAGTTCTAGTTCAGTTCTAGGAGTAGTTCTAGTTCAGTTCTATTTCAGTTCTAGTTCAGTTCTACTTCAGTTCTAGTTCAGTTCTAGTTCAGTTCTAGTTCAGTTCTAGTTCAGTTCTAGTTCAGTTCTAGTTCAGTTCTAGTTCAGTTCTAGTTCTGCCCTAGTTCTTCTTGCTAAACATATTTAATCAAAATCTTATTATTAATATGCTGACACATTTTAATCTCTTTTATTTAAAACCTTTGCGATTTTTGTACAGGTTTAGTATAGTTTTATATTTCTTAGCCGCAAAAAATGCTGAAAACACTCCTTGACATGAACCGGTAAAATCCTGAAACAGATTTAAAATGTTTAGATATATAAAAATATGCACTTCTCTGTCTCCGGCACAACTTACTCCAACAGTTTATACATGTAGAGCATTACACAAGGCACTGTAATTTCCCGACTACCATTCAACATACCGTTGATCGCATACTTGGAACAAACTTCACCCTCCATTGTAGGCAATACATGTCGTAACCCAGTCAAATTATGAATTGTTTCTACAGTTTTATTAGTTGATAAAAATGTGGGCATTACAGTTGTAACCGTTATATTTTTACGATCCAATATGAGTTCCGTACGCAGAGCTTGGCTCAAGGAACGTATAGCTGCTTTGGTGGCTCCATAAACATTAAAAAGTGGCGAAGTTATGAGGGCGGATAAGGAACAAATATTAACAATATAGCCTTGATTTAGTTCTTTTAATTTGGGCAAAAATATTTGCAGAATCTAGATGTATAAAAGAAAATTGGTTTTATAATAATTTTTAATTGGATAATAAATTAAAAGTTCTTACGTAATATACGGCAGTAAAATTAACTTCAATCATTTGTTTCACTTCATGAGGGGAAAGATTTGTCAATGATGAACCCACCAAAACTGCAGCGTTATTAATTATAATAGTTGGTAGTACCAAGATCCGCAGTTATTGAGACTCTTAGAAGCTCTAGTTGTCCATAATCACTTACGCTCCACCTAAAAACGTACAGAGATTTTAAAAGATTTTTATTGTTTTCGATATTTTGTATATAGTTCAGTTCTAGATCAATTCTATATCAGTTCTAGTTCAGTCCAGTTCAGTTCTAGTTCAGTTCTAGTTCAGTTCTAGTTCAGTTCTAGTTCAGTTCTAGTTCAGTTCTAGTTCAGTTCTAGTTCAGTTCTAGTTCAGTTCTAGTTCAGTTCTAGTCCAGTTCTAGTTCAGTTCTAGTTCAGTTCTAGTTCAGTTTCTAGTTCAGTTAGTCAGTTCTAGTTCAGTTCTAGTTCAGTTCTAGTTCAGTTCTAGTTCAGTTCTAGTTCAGTTCTAGTTTCAGTTCTAGTTCAGTTCTAGTTAGTTCTAGTTTCAGATCTGGTTAGTTCTAGTTCAGTTCTAGTTCAGTTTCTAGTTCAGTTCTAGTTCAGTTCTAGTTCAGTTCTAGTTCAGTTCTAGTTCAGTTCTAGTTCAGTTCTAGTTCAGTTCTAGTTCAGTTCTAGTTCAGTTCTAGTTCAGTTCTAGTTCAGTTTCTAGTTCAGTTCTAGTTCAGTTCTAGTTCAGTTCTAGTTCAGTTCTAGTTCAGTTCTAGTTCAGTTCTAGTTCAGTTCTAGTTCAGTTCTAGTTCAGTTCTAGTTCAGTTCTAGTTCAGTTCTAGTTCAGTTCTAGTTCAGTTCTAGTTCAGTTCTAGTTCAGTTCTAGTTCAGTTCTAGTTCAGTTCTAGTTCAGTTCTAGTTCAGTTCTAGTTCAGTTCTAGTTCAGTTCTAGTTCAGTTCTAGTTCAGTTCTAGTTCAGTTCTAGTTCAGTTCTAGTTCTAGTTCAGTTCTAGTTAAGTTCTAGTTCAGTTTTAGTTCAGTTTAGTTCAGTTCTAGTTCAGTTCTAGTTCAGTTCTAGTTCAGTTCTAGTTTAGTTCTAGTTTAGTTCTAGTTCAGTTGTAGTTCAGTTGTAGTTCAGTTGTAGTTCAGTTCTAGTTTAGTTCTAGTTCAGTTCTAATTCAGTTCTAGTTCAGTTCTAATTCAGTTCTAGTTCAGTTCTAGTTCAGTTCTTGTTCTGTTCTTGTTCTGTTCTTGTTCTGTTCTTTTTCTGTTCTTGTTCTGTTCTTGTCATGTTCTTGTTCTGTTATTGTTCTGTTCTTGTTCTGTTCTATTTCTGTTCTAGTTCTGTTCTAGTTCTGTTCTAGTTTCTGTTCTAGTTCTGTTCTAGATCTGTTCTAGTTCTGTTCTAGTTCTGTTCTAGTTCTGTTCTAGTTCAGTTCTAGTTCTGTTCTAGTTCTGTTCTAGTTCTGTTCTAGTTCTGTTCTAGTTCTGTTCTAGTTCTGTTCCAGTTCAGTTCTAGTTCTGTTCTAGTTCTGTTCTGGTTCTGTTCTAGTTCTGTTCTAATTCTGTTCTAGTTCTGTTCTAATTCTGTTCTAGTTCTGTTCTAGTTCTGTTCTAGTTCTGTTCTAGTTCTGCTCTAGTTCTGTTCCAGTTCAGTTCTAGTTCTGTTCTAGTTCTGTTCTAGTTCTATTCTAGTTCTAGTTCTGTTCTAGTTCTGTTCTAGTTCTGTTCTAGTTCTGTTCTGTTCTAGGTCTGTTCTAGTTCTGTTCTGTTCTAGGTCTGTTCTAATTCTGTTCTAGTTCCGTTCTAGTTCTGTTCTAGTTCTGTTCTAGTTCTGTTTTAGTTCTGTTCTAGTTCTGTTCTAGTTCTGTTCTAGTTCTGTTCTAGTTCTGTTCTAATTCTGTTCTAGTTCTGTTCTTTTTTTTTTCAATTAAAAAAAATACCTTGTACGCTTTGCTTTTAATATCAAATGTTTCTGTTAAGTACTGCGCCGTTTCCAACGCCAGGTTTTCTTTTATATCAACAATTGCAATATGACACCCTCTGGCAGCCAATTCTTTGGCAATGTCACGCCCTAAGCCTCGTGCGCCGCCAGTAACCTAAAACGATTAAGTTATATTTAAATATACTCTTCTGATGGTATCGGTTGGTGCCAAATTTTTGCACAAACAACACAATTTCGTTTATTTAAACCATATTTACCACTGCTACTTGTCCTCGAATATTTCTGGAACCGAAACCATTGGTTTTTATAATTTTTATGATTTTATTGACAACAGTTATTAAAATTAGAATTGGATAAAGTAAAATAAGTCCAATTAATTGTATACTATAATAGATTTCAAAATATAACATTTTCTTAAACATTCTGTTCAATTTGTAAAAATTTTTTCTTTGAAATGACGCTTTAAGAATACAGCTTATGACTGAAACAGTTGCTAATCTATTTATTTGTATTTATAAGTATTTTTTTTTATTAATTTGCAAACTTAGTAACTTATAGCAATTAGATTTGTAAAGAAAAATGTAAAACGACATATTCTCGACTTTGTAAATGTGTTAAGAAAATAATATATGTATATTATAACAGTATTAGTTACCTCAGAATACTCATTTACTTAAATACAGGTCGAACTCAAAATTCGAGCTTTCTGAAGAGAGCATTCTAGGTGTTCTTTATGTTGCTCTTAACAAGACCCCTTAGGGGGATTCAAGTCAGTTATATAACGAATTATAAAGTTTACATAATAATTAGTTTTTTTTTTTATAAAAAATCATTGAATTATTAAAGGGACTGATTATTATTACTTACTAGTTTATAATATTTACTAGATCAATAAGTTTCAACAGATTTTGTCCTTAGAACAAGGTTGACGGGACATCGTAACGTATTTAATCACATCCGGATTCGTATTTTTTTTTTTTTTTTGAACAAACTTTGTTTTTTTAAGTTAAGACACTATTGAAAAAATTGATTAATATTCCGATGTATATACTGTAGTTCGAAGTCTATTACTAATAATCGAGTCATAAGGTTTGAAAAAACCCGTTTCTTGAAATATTTGAGACACTATAAAATAGCGCGTAGAGGCCATTATTTATACAATTTTTTATATCATCTCAAAATCCAAGACAATTTATGGACAATTCTCTATAAAGTTTGAATCTTCACGAAAATTCTTTATAAAATGAGAATTTTCACGAAAATTCTCTATAAAAGAATATTTATTTTCTATTAAAAGAGTATTTATCACAATTCTATTTAATAATTGTTTGTTCACGAATATTCTCTATAAGAAGAATCTTCTCTATAAAATGAAAATCTTAAGGAAGATTCTCTATAATAGGAGAATTTCCATGAAAATTCTTTATAAAAAGATAATTTCCACAAAAATCCTCTATTAAAGATTATTAATCAATAATTCTCCAAAAAAAAAACAGACTTTGTTCTTACAAATTCTCTATTAAAAGAGAATTTATCGAAAATTTTCTATAAAAAGAGATTTTGAACTCATTCACGAACCTTTAGATAAAAGCATAATAAAGGGATAAATTGCTATAATACCATTTAAATAAAGACCATGAAAAACTTCATAAAATACTATTTCTGTTAGCATTATTTTATTTAAGTTTTTATTAATTCTTTTTTTTAATTATTTGGTTATTGATATTGACGATTACTATATATGACTGTCCTAAGTTTATATTATAGTTTCTTATATAGACATTTTTAAAGTAGAAAATAATTAACATAATTATTTTAACTGTTCTATTAACTGCAAATTACCCAGACATTTGTCGGAATTATGTATGTTTTTCTGGTGTATAAAGTTTAGAAAATAAGTGGAATGAGGAAGTTATAGATTTTAATTGTTTTAAAAATAAAACCGTTATAAAATGTAACTGTTTAATAATCTGCATATTCATCTGTCTGGCTTTGAATAAAAACATATTTACAGTTTTAAGTCGTATGCGATATGTCTATATACTGTCATAGGGGCCTTAAATTATGAAAATTTATCGAAAAATTCTATGAAAAATTTTAATTCTGTATATAAATAGAATTTAACGAGAATATATAGAGAATTCTCTTTTAAAAGTGAATCTTCACAAAAATTCTTTATAAAAATAGAATCTTCTCTATAAAAGGAAAATTCTCTTGAAAATTGTCTACAAAAAAATAATTTTCACGAGAATCTTCACTAAAACTAAAAAAATAAAGAAAAAATTCTCTATAAAAAAGATCCTTTATAAAAAGAGAATTGTGGTGAAAATTCTCTATAAAAATTCTTTATAAAAAGCGAATCTTCACTATAAAATGAAAATCTTAACAAAGATTCTCTATAAAATGAAAAAGCTCTTTATAAAAAGAGAATTATCATGAAAGTTCTTTATAAAAAGAGAGTTTTCATGAAGAGTCTTTATAAAACGAAAATTTTCACAAAAGTTCTTTATAAAAAGAGAGTTTTCGTGAAGATTCTTTATAAAAAGAGAATTTTCACAAAAGTTCTTTATAAAAAGATAATTTTCACGAAAATTCTTTATAAAAAGAGAATTTTCGTGAAAATTCTCTATAAAAATTCCTTATAAAAAGCGAATCTTTAATAAAAATCTTAACGAAAATTCTCTATAAAATTTGACTTTTCATGAAAATTCTTTATAAAAAGAGAATTTTCACGAGAATTCTTTATAAAAGGACAATTTTCACGAAAATTTTTATAAAATGAGAATTTTTCACTAATGTTCTTTATAAAAAAAAGTTTTCATTAAAATTCTCTATAAAAAGAAAATATTCACGAAAATTCTTAATAAAGAGCGAATCTTCACTATAAATCTTAATGTTCGTGAAAATTCTATATAAAAATTTTTCATACAAAGAGAATCGTCCCTATTATATGAAACTCTTAACGAAAATTCTATATAAATGAGACTTTTCATGAAAATTCTTTATAAAAAGAGAATTTTAGCGAAAATACTTTATACAAGGAAAATGTTCATGAAAATTTCTATAAAATGAGAATTTTTCATAACTTTTCGTGAAAATTCTCTTTTTATTAAGAATTTTCGCGAAAAGTCATTTATAAAAAGACAATTTTCACGAAAATTTTTATAAAATGAGAATTTTTCACGAAAGTTCTTTATAAAAAGAAAGTTTTCATGAAAATTCTTTATAAAAAGAGAATTTTTACGAAGATTCTTTATAAAAAGAGAATTTTCACGAAGATTCTTTACAAAAATTAAATTTTTACGAAAATTCTTTATAAAGAATCTTCACTATAAAAGCTTATCGAAAATTCTCTATGAAATAAGAATTTTCACGAAATTTCTTTACAAAAAGAGAGTTTTCATGAAAATTCTTTATAAAACACGAAAATTCCTTTTTAAAAAGAGCTTTTTCTCAAAAATTCTTTATAAAAAAGAAAACTTTCACGAAAACTCTTTAAAAAGGAGAAATTTTAATTGTGTCTTTGTATAAGTCTGGAAGGAACTACAGGCAAAGTGCCACGCCCACATACATAGTAAGTATTAAAAATTGTTTATTTTAGAAACTGCTACATCTGGAGTCCTCAAATTTTGTATTAACAACTGTGGGGAAAATGGACGGAATGGGTATAGTGGGCGTGGCACAGCTGGAAAATTTTTTATAAAATTCTCCATAAAAGAATTTGTTAAAACTTCTCTATAAATAATAATTTTTATATAAAAGTAAAATTTATCGATAATCTAGATACTATATATAGAAATTTTTTACCGATATTTATTATAAACCAAATATATACATATTATATATATTTAACCATAATACTTAAATAAACTATAACTTCTTAAATCTAACTTTTTAAAACTATTTCAATTTACTTTTAGCTTTCAAGGATTTTAATAACCGATTGTAGCCTCTGAATGTTATCAAAACATTGCCAAATTCCTTAACACTAACAGGTAAGAGTCTGAAATTAAAAAAAAATCATTAATTTATTTCCCATTAATATTCGCATTTCTATACTTCACTCACTCGTATAATTTATAAATATATAGAAAAGCATTTGGTATCGTTATTTCATCTTCATTATTAAGCATACTGTCCAGCACATATTGTGCCACTATGGGACCCTCGATCAGGGGAAATATTTTCGTTAAACCACTCATATTTATTAGCCTTTCAACACGTTGATTGGTATTTAAGAATAGCGGCATTACTGTAGTGGCCGTTATATTTTTGAATTCATTCATTATTTCAATGCGTAAAGCTGATGTTATAGAACGTACGGCTGCCTTAGTGCCGGCATAAATATTAAAAAATGGTGAGGTGAAGAGGGCCGAACTGGAGCATATGTTGACTAGATGCCCATGATTTAATTCTTTCATTTTGGGCAAAAAGATTTGTTGGGTCTGTTAGGAAGAAATGTAGCAAGTTTAGCGATATCATATTTTTTTGTGGGATTTTACTTACAAAGCATATGCTGGTGAAATTGACATTTATCATTCTTTGTATTTCCTCGGGTGATGGGTTCAACATAGAAGACAAAGTTAAAATGGCAGCATTATTAATTAAAATTGATACATCTCCCAGATCTTGGGAGACATTTTATTTAACTCCTCTAGTTGGTGATAATCGCTGACATCGATCTGAAAATAATGGAGGATTATTGTTTTATAGTCTAGCCTATAGTCTAGTCTATAGTCTAGTCTATAGTCTAGTCTATAGTCTAGTCTATAGTCTAGTCTATAGTCTAGTCTAGTAGTCTATGTCTAGTCTAGTATAGTCTATAGTCTAGTCATAGCTAGTCTATAGTCTAGTCTAGTCTAGTCTATAGTCTAGTCTATAGTCTAGTCTATAGTCTAGTCTATAGTCTAGTCTATAGTCTCTATAGTCTAGTATAGTCTAGTCTATAGTCTAGTCTATAGTCTAGTCTATAGTCTAGTCTATAGTCTAGTCTATAGTCTAGTCTATAGTCTAGTCTATAGTCTAGTCTATAGTCTAGTCTATAGTCTAGTCTATAGTCTAGTCTATAGTCTAGTCTATAGTCTAGTCTATAGTCTAGTCTATAGTCTAGTCTATAGTCTAGTCTATAGTCTAGTCTATCTAGTCTATAGTCTAGTTATAGTCTAGTCTATAGTCTAGTCTATAGTCTAGTCTATAGTCTAGTCTATAGTCTAGTCTATAGTCTAGCCTATAGTCTAGTCTATAGTCTAGTCTATAGTCTAGTCTATAGTCTAGTCTATAGTCTAGTCTATAGTCTAGTCTATAGTCTAGTCTATAGTCTAGTCTATAGTCTAGTCTATAGTCTAGTCTATAGTCTAGTCTATAGTCTAGTCTATAGTCTAGTCTATAGTCTAGTCTATAGTCTAGTCTATAGTCTAGTCTATAGTCTAGTCTATAGTCTAGTCTATAGTCTAGTCTATAGTCTAGTCT